GGCAAACAGAGACCCCTAATTATAGATGGAAGGGTTTCTGGTTTTGTTTTTCTTTAATCCTTACCCTGAGGCCTCTGCAACACAGCTCTGTCTCTGCTTGTGTGGAAAGAGAAGTTTCCAGTTTGGCTTTGTAATAAGAACTCCTTTGGAATGAATCAACAAGTTAGCAACAGAGGCCACTAGAACTTGGGTGGGTTGTTGGATGGCTTGATGGCCACTATATCATCAAGGCAGCTGCAGTTTTGCAAGAATCCCTCCAAGGCTGGCCAGACATTTGCTGGGTTCCCCAGAGGCTTGCAATCTGCAGAGCATGTGGCAGAAAAGCAAAGGCTGGCCTTGCAGGACCATTTCCCAGGAATCCAAGTTAGCGGCCTGCCCTCTGTGTGCACAGTTTGTTGCGGAGGGGATGTAACTGGAGAAGAGCAGATGCTCTCGGTGAGGTGGACTTGAGACTGAGGAAGCTAATTCGGTACATAGGTGTTGGGTGAAAATGGCACTCTTTGGTCTGAAGGGTCACATTTAGCTTCTCACCCTAAATTAAATGCCTGGGGGCACACGTGTGCCACTCTTGCGAAGCTACCAAGTTGGAAGGGTTTGGGGGGGCCATTGGTCAACGTTGCCTGGAGAATCACAGTGAGCAGAATAACTCCTTTTCCTCCGTTCCGTCTGATGGAATTGTGGGCAAGGGTTGGCTTGCTCAAGGAGAGGCACAGGTGTAGTCATTTGAGTCGGAGAGAAGAAGAAATCAGAAGAAGTCCTGCTGTAGTTGGTCTAGCTGGTCACCTGGGTAGGACTTGCATAAGAAAAGAAGAAGAGTTGAAGGAGAGTTGGTTTTTATACCCTGCTTGTGTCTACCCTAAGGAGTCTCAGAGTGGCTTACAAGCGCCTTCCCCTTCTCTCCCCACAACAGACTGTGAGACAGGTGGGGCTGAGAGAGCTCTGAGAGAATTGTGACTGCCCCAAGGTTGCCCAGCAGGCTTCATGTGGGGGGAGGAATCAACCCCCTCCCTGGCTCCCCAGATTAGAGCCTGCCATTCTTAACCACTACTACAGCATGCTGGGTTGTCCGTGTGCCTGCTCGAATAACATCTGCGGATGAGTGGTGTTTTTATTTATGTCATCCCCTGGTACGGGACTTCCCTTTGAGAACCTTAACAACCAGTCTCACCAACGGAGCCAGGCCTGACCTGGCCACAGCGGCATGTGCTCTGATCCCACCCATGTGCTCTGTAACAACAATGTGCTCTGTGTGGGGGGGGGACGGCCTTTGAGAGCCACTCTGGAGCTTCAGCCGGTGCAGAATGTGGGGTGGTCAGATGGTTGTCAGCAGCTAGAGGCAGGGATTGCGTCACCCCAGTGCTGAAAGGTCTGCACTGGCTTCCAGTTTCTTCTAGGGCACAATCTACATGGCTGGTTCTTACCTCTAAGTCCATAAGTGCCTTTGGGCCAGGAACTTGAAGGCCCACCTCCTCCCATATTGTCCAGCCCACAAATTGACACTGTTTCAAACCCATCATGTGGGGGGGGGGGATGTAACCAGAGGCGGGGGTGGTAGCACCTCACTGTTGGAATGCCCTGCCCCTCGAGGCTCGCCTGGCACCTTTCATCTAAAAGGCTTCATCTTTTTTAGGTGTCTTACAGTCTGCTCCTAGCCTGTTTCATCAATATCATTTTGGACTGCTGTTTTGTGTGGTTTTATGCCCTGACTTCTTTTATGTGCGTGCTTTTGTATTGACTTAGATGACTTTATTGATATGTTTTTGATTGGTTAGGGTTTGTGTTTATCGTTCCACTCTGTGGGGGCTTGGCTCTATTTTATTGCTGTGAGCCACCTTGAGCAGGTTTGAAAGGGGGGGGGAACGCAGGTTTTGTAAAGGAATAAATGAAGCCTGGCTCATTGGATGCACGGATGGGGCACTTTGTCCTGTGTGTGGCGCCTGACCTGAGGGTGGTGCCGGCAGCTCCTGTCCTTGCTGTCAGGGATGTGTGTGTGTGTGTGTGAGAGAGAGAGAGAGAGAGAGCACATGAGCATGCATGAGCAAAACGGAGCAAAACGGAGCAAAAGCTGCATAGTCAAGACTAGATCTGCACAAAGTGGTTCTTTGGTGTGTCACTGGAGTGGCCGTCTCTGCTTGCCCTGGGGGGCCTCGTGGAGGCGGCAGAGCCTGAGCAGCCCCAAGTCCCTAGCCCTGGGTGGAGAGCTGCGCTGGTGACCCGCCACCCCCACCCCGCCCACCCCCGTGGGCTGATAAGCGGGAGTGCTGGGCAGAGAGGCCTCTTCTCGGGCGCTTGCCGCCCTGTACCCTCTTTTTAAGTGTTGCAGTGTTTGCTGGGAGATGAGTGGCAGATGGCCAGCAAACGCATGGTCAAGTTGCCCACTTGTTTCCCTCAGGTAAGGTTGCCATCTGGACCGCCTTCTGTCATTCACTGGGGTGGGGAGGGAGGCACCTGCCTCTCGGGCACTCGCTGAAGGAGGCACCTGTTGCTTTCAGTGCAAGCCTCTCGAGTCCTCCTGGCCCCACTGCTGCTGGACCTCCTGAGGGCCCCTGATGGTGTTTCTGGCCACTGCGTGAGACACAGAGTGCTGGGCTGGGTGGGCCACTGGCCTGATCCAGGATCATTGGCTTCTCCTCTGTTCTTATGGAGCTGCTCCGGGGGGGGGGTGGCGGCGGTGGCAGTGGCTGTTGCCCCCCCTCCCACCATCCTGGCCGCTCAGACGCACGGAGGGTGTCCTGCCTTTGAGGGGGAGGTGTCCAGGGATGAAGGCAGCTTCTCTGTACAGGGTAAGGTGTCGGTCAGCCAGGAGACGTGGTTCCACGTTGCCCTCATCATTTAAACATTTTTAAGCTGCAGCAAAAAGTCAAAGGGGTGCCACCTCCCCACATGATAGCAGAGCATTGCTGTTGTTTGAAGGCCCCACAGAAAAGAGACGTGGAACCTGGGAAGAAGCGGGGGCCCCTGTGGCTGGGGGCCACGGGAAACAGGTTGCTCCGTGCTGCTTCTCGGCAGGCTCTGCCGTGGGCTGGGTGTGAGGCAGGCCTCTCGTCACGTGCAGCTTCATTTTGTCCCGGTTCAGCCTGCCCATCCTGCCCTTCCTAGGAACAGTGCAATGCCCCACTTTATTTTAGTGTGTGGGAAAAGACCGACGAAGGGAGTGCCAGGAGCTATCCCCTCTTCACATGTTCAGAGCCTTTTGTGAAATCTGGCAGAGGAACCTGTAAGCCACAGGACTGGTGTAGTTCACTAGTTTGAAAAAAATGCATTGGTCTGCCTTTCTTCTGAGCCTCTCCTGGCCTGCCCAGAGCGGCTGACTCCTGGAAACCACACTCTCATGTCACCTTGGCTCTGTGCGTGCTAGTGTGTGTGTGTGTTCACGCAGTGCCCACAAGAGTATGGGGCTTCACTGCTTACCCCACATGTGTGTTCGCTTTCTTGGCACAGCCTGAGCTGGAGCATCTTCAACAAGGCAGTGATGAGCCAGCCAGTGAGAGGGGGAAATCTTTTTGAGTGCTGAACAAGTTTCATTTTCCTGTGAAGAGGGCTGGAGGAGATGAGGGAGCTTCCCTCTGCTGATGCTCTTGTGGTGGGGCGGGCGGGCAGGCCACCACCTGCACAGCCCCCCCCCTCCCCTGCTGTTGCTGAGAGAGAGAGAGAGAGAGAGAGAGAGAGAGAGAGAGAGAGAGAGAGAGAGAGAGAGAGAGACAGTCTCTGGAGATTTCTGCGTCTGTCTACCTGCCTGCCAGTTGCACAAGAAAGAAGGTGCAGGAGGGGGGGGTGGATGCCCGCCCGCCCGCCCGCCTCCTGGGCTCAGGTCCCCGCCTGCTCAGCAGAGAGCTGCGGCTTCAAAGCTTGTCTGAGAGGAGGAGGGAGGAGGAAATGGAACAGAAAGGGGGGGGCAGCCGGGGACTCTGCATTCTGTGGCGTGTTTGTGGCTTCTTCACTTTGATCTCCTGCCAAGGAAACCTGGAAGGTCAGGCCAAGTTGCAGCTAAGCGATGGAGGGCGGAGTGCTGCGGAATGCAGGAGCGGAGCCACCGCCGCATGCGCCTGACTTCGGCTTCTCTGAGCCCAGTCTGGGGCTCTGCATTTCTTCTTTGATCTTGCTAGGCACGGGAAGGAAAGGCAAGCGGGGGGGGGGGGCATATCTGTACCACCATTCGTGGCCTTGTGTCAACTGCTTATGCTGGAGCAAGAGGGTCAGAAACGCAGTTGCAGTGAGGGGAGAATTGGGCTGCTCTGCCTGCTTGATCTCCCCACCCACTCCCTAGGTAGTGTGTGTGTGTGTGTGGGGGGGGGTTGGTATGAACTTTGAGGTTTCTTAACTTTCTACCCCAGCCAGTAGTCAGGTGTGTGAACCCAGTGCATGTTTGGGGGGGGGGCAGGATTGCCTGTGACTGCGATGTTTCTGGAGAAGGCCATAATATCTTTTTGGAATAAAGTTTGAGTTCAGTGGCACTGTTAAGACTACCCACCTGAATCTATAATATCTTTTTTGTGAAAGTGACTTGGCTGCACTGGGGTCAGCGTGGGTGTGTAGGCGAGGGAGGGATGTGCCCGTTTCTCTTGGCAGAGTGAAGGTCCCTGTGTGTCTGCAAGACCCTGAGTCAGCCCCTGTCAGACTGGCAGTTACTGGTCTTTGACAAAGGAGGACACAGAACAAAATTTGGCGCCAAAGTCCAAGGAGGGTCTTGTGTGAAAAAAGGGCCTCTTCTACGCTCCTTTGGCCCAAGGCTGACCTCTGGTGGCCACCCCCAGCAGCAGCAGCAGCAGCATCCCAAGGCGCTGACGTGAGGAGGGCTCCCCTGAGCAGAACAACAAATGCCCGCTTAGGTCTGACGCGAGCCCGGCACAGGCCACCACCACACCCCTTCCCCTTCTCCACCCCCGTGCTTGCTCTGCCCCCTTCCCTCTGCTGGAGCTCCCTCAGGTCTGGGCTGAGCTAGCTGGCCAGGAGTGTCGGTTGGCCATGAGGTGACCTCTTCCTCTCCCCTCTTCTTGTAGGCCAAGCGGGCAGTGCAGAGAGGGGCCACAGCTGTCATATTTGACGTGTCTGAAAATCCAGATGCCATCGATCAGGTAGGAACCCTACATTGTCGACATGGACCACCACGGTACAGCTGTTCTTTTCCTGGTGACAGCGGAACAGGAGATCGAGGGGGCGCTGCATCATGGGGGAGGAGGGAGGGAATATTAAGAAAGCTGTGGGGTTAGTCCTTTGCCAACCTGCCCTCTTCTGTTTAGCAAAGAAAGCAACTAAAAGGGGGCAGGCTGGAGGTTTATACGGTTATGCGTGGTGTGGAGAGAGAACTTTTTCTTCCTCTCCCATTATATAAAAACATGGGGGATACCCTGTGTAGTTGATGGGTGGTAGATTCAGGGCACAGAAAAAAACCTTAGCTCTTCACACAACACATAATTAACTTGTGGATCTCCCTGCCACCGGACATTGTGGTGGCCACCAGCTTAGACCACTTCTACAGGGCAGTAGACAGTTAATGGGGAATAGGTCCATCAGCCGCTGTTCATCTTCAGTCTTCTGTGCAGTCCCACATTGGGACTGCGCTTGCGTGGGCCAGCTGCTGAAAGCTCTCTTACAGCTATTCTGGATATTTTTTTAACCTACCAAGGGGAGCTCCTCCCCTGCAGAGCCCGCTGGAGGCCGTTTTCCTGCCTAATGGTCACGTGCGCTGCAGGGAGGAGCTCCCCCTTTCCCTCAGCCCTTTCTTTGCTGTCGCTACCGAGTACTGTGAGTTTCTTCTCAAAGTTTCTCTTCTGGGCTCTCTCCTTGCTTTATTTTAAACATGTACCCAGTGCAGAGTTCAAAACTAACACACTCAGATGAGCACCTCCTGTGCCTTCTCTGCTTGGGTAAGGCCCATCCTACAGCCACGTGCAAGACCTGCCTCCAGTTCGCCCTGCAAGCCCATTCCGATCGAGCAGTGTGCTTGAAGGCTGCTGGTGCAGGGGAGAAGGTGCTCTCTGGCTCCAGGAGCCCAGGAGCGAAGCATCTGCCCCGGCAGAGCACCGCCAGTCGCTGTTGCCTTCAAAATCACCGGTTAGAACCAACCAACCAACCTGCAAGTCCACCATTTAGCATCTCGGTTCTGTCAGTTCTGGGGACAGAACCAAAGCATTGAGTCCGATCATCTGAACGCTGTGTATTGGAATGCCCGCCAGAGAAGGTGTGTTCCAAGTCCAAACATAAGGAGGAACAATGCCCCAGTTCCAAGATGCTCCCGGAATCCAGTGACTCTTCTGTTCCAGTTAAGTCAGCGTCAGTTCCGAGGGAACAGGAAGGAGTCTCCCCACCACGGACGCCTTCTCCACATGCCTCCCTGGCTCATTCATTCTCCAGAGGGGAATTGGAACCTGAGCAGGATGCTTTGGCAGTTCCAGCAGCTAGTCATCCGTCAGAACCATCCTCCCTGGCTCCATGGCAGAGTTCGATGCCGCTACCTCCCTTGGCAACACTACCCTTACTGTTTTCCATCTCCTGGACCTCAAGAATGGGATGACGGGCAGTTGCGAAAAGCACCTCTAGAAACGAGGCACCCATCTTCACGGAATCGTGACACTCTGGGTCACTTGGTACCCTCCTGCAATTTCTCCTCACCCCCTTATTGGGCATTTGAATTCTGAGGAAGAGCAGGCTTAGAGGGCTGACTGACCAACTATAGGGCCTTTTCCCTGGTGACACTGTAGGAGACCCTGATCCAGTGTCTCCTAATGAAGATTTGAAACTTTACTCAGAGCAAATGATGTGAATGGCTAAATGGCTGGAGACCTCAAGACAAGATTTTAGGCAAGCTGTACGCTAAGTCGCCGGGTACAGTAGCTTCCCTGTTCTGGAGGGTATTGCCGACATCTGCAAAGCCCTTTGGCAGAAACCATCTAGCATGGCTGCCACATCTAAAAAAGTGGAGAATGTATACAGACTGCAACAGGAAGGTCATTTCTGTTTATTTTGCCACCCTCCGGCTTCATCCCTCATAGCAAAAGAGATGCAGGCAAAGCAGCGTACAGGTGAGCATTCCTCCCCAGCTGATAGAGAGGGGCGAAAGATTGACACACATTGTAGAAAAGTCTATTCTTCTGCCAACTATAGTACAATTATGGCAGGATACCAGTTGTTCCTCTGGGAAAAGATGGCTGCTTATATAGGGCTTCTGCCTGAAGACAAGAAGCCTCTGGCTAAACTCCTCCAGGCGGAAGTATTCCGTCTTTCCAAACAACAGATTAATACAGGCAGACATTCCGCTGACGACGACTCCTCCTCCTCCTCCTCCTCCTCCTCCTCCAGGGATATGGCTTCAGAACTTGCATTGAGAAGACAGGCTTGGCTGCGCTCCATGACTCTCCTTACTGACAGCCGGAAGAAGGTGGAAGACCTTCCATTTGAGGGAATGATACTATTCACTTTGTCAACTGACAATCTTTTATCCCAAATTAAAAAGAACAAGCAAACAGCTTGTTCATTTGGCATCACAGCAGGTCCTGCCACTCTGTACAGGCCTTGACAGACATATTGATACCACCCATCCCACTCGCATCAGCAGCCACACTCATCGCAGGACCCCTTTTCAGGGCCTGCGGCTCAGGTCAGGCCCAGGCCCAATCACAGAGCTAGGCGTTTGGGCTCATAACACCAGACAGTACCGAAAGAGCTGCAGCAGGCTCCAAAGCACCCCAAGATCGCATTATAGCCCTGGCTGCTCCTATTTAACTTGCGGCCCACCTGTACCCCAAGACCTTGTTCGAACACACTGCTACCCAGAAGGGTATCCCCCATCCAGTATGTGTGTTCCTCATGTTTGTTACACAGATGAAGAACCCTGCACTTATCCTTGTTAAATTGCATCTTGTTCATATCCGCCCACTTTCCTAGTGTGTTCAGATCTCGTTGAATTCTATCTCTATCTTCTGGGGTGTTTTCTGCTCCTCCCAGTTTGGTGTCATCTGCACATTTAATGATTAGCCCCTCCACACCATTGTCCAGATTTTTTATAAAACTATTGAAAAGTACCTGGCCCAGAATCTCCATGCGATTGACAACTACTCTCTGAGTGGGGTTCTCCAACCAGTTCCCTATTCACCTAACTATCCTAGAGTCCAGTTCACAGTCCATCAGAACAGGGGAATCCAGGTAAACAACATCAGCAGCATTCCCTCGATCCAATAAGCTCGTCACTCATTGGGCAGGGGGTTGGACTAGATGGTCTGTATGGCCCCTTCCAACGCGGTGGTGCAGGCTGTAAATGCAGCCTGCACTATAACATCTGGCTGAACTATGGTTCGAGCCCCACCGCGGTCGGAGTGAGCTCCCAACCCAATGTCCTAGCTCCCGCCCACCCAGCGGTTCAAAAAGCCTGTTAAAGGGCGAGATAAATGGGTACCTACCCTTAGTAGGGTAGGGGCACCCCCCTCTCCGAGGCGTGTGGTGTACGGCGGAGGACCATCAGAGGAGCAGCGGCAATGGCGGCAAGAACGGCAGCAGTGCGGAGTCTTGGGCGGAGACGAGGCGGCGCGGCGCGGCGACTGAGGGCCAGTGGAGAGAGCGATCCCTGGTGGCCAGCATCGAAGTTAACAAAGAGGCGGCCGTCGCAGCAAGAAGAAGCGTGGAGACGTCATCCCCCGGCGCGGTGGAGCCGATCGGACATAGCCGGAGCCGGGGGAGAGCAGACTTCACTCAGAGTCTCAGAGCGGCTCACAAACTCCTTTCCCTCCCCCTCCCCCTCCCCAAAAGACACCCTGTGAGGTAGGCGGGGCTGAGAGAGCTCTGACAGAAACTACACTTTCAAGGACAGCTCTGACAGAACTATGGCTTGCCCAAGGTCATCCAGCAGCTGCAAGTGGAGGAGTGGGGAATCAGACCCAGTTCTCCCAGACTAGAGTCCGCACACTTAGCCACTACACCAAACTGTTTCATTTACCCATTTTTAGATGACTGGGTACTAGAGTCACAAGTTTCCCTGATTACACAAACTTGCCTGGAATTGAGCTTGCTAATTAACAGCAAGAGATCACACCTTCAACCTTCTCAGAAACTTTCCTTTATTGGGGCCCTTCTGGACACCACAGTAGCCAGGGCTTTCCTACCTGTCGATAGAGCCTTACATATTAAGGCGGTGATTAGGTGCCTGTCTAACAACAGATTTCAATCCATCTTATTCTTTCAAAAGTTGCTAGGGCTGATGGCTTCTACAGCAGCCCACAACCCCATATGCACACCTAAGAATGCAACCTTTACAAACATTCCAGCATACTAGTTTCACTGTTCGTGGCAGTTAAGCTTGTGGGCATGCGATAGTGACTTCCTAGCAGGGGTACCATTTGGGGGAAGGACGCCTCAGCTGTCTTATCACCTCTAATGCTTCCTTGCAAGGCCGGGGAGCCCATTGTGGGTCATTTTCTGTTCTTCATATTAACCTCTTAGAGTGACATGCAATACATTACACCCTTAACCTCGTTCACAGAGCTCACTAGGTTATTATGGACAATACTACGGCAGTGACCTATATAAACTAAAAGGGGGTCACAGCCTTGGCGGCCCTGTGCAGGGAGACCACTTTCATTTGGAACTGGTCATCGCTCAAGGGTCCTCCCTCCAAGCAGTACATGTAGCAGGTACTGCCAACACAAGAGTGGATATACTCATTAGAATGGGACAATCAGAACACAAACCGTCTCTGGGGAAGAAGTATATCCTCCCAGTTTTCCAGCAGTGGGGTTTTTTTGGGAGTGGACCTTTTTGCCATCCATGTCAATGTGAAAGCCCTGACAAGTGGGTGCAGATCATCTCTCTCTAGGGAATGCATTAGGGATGTGCATTCGGTTCATCTGAACCAAATGCACCCCCAAAAATGGCCCATTTGGGCCCCTTTCGGGCTGCTGTGGGCTGATTCAGATTCTCTGATCTGTAACTTCCCCCCCCAACATAGAGAACAATGGGGGGATGGGGGCAACCTGTTTGGGGGCCTGTAGAATTGGACCCCCTGCTCCAATGTTCTTGGGGAGAGGCTCCAGAAGCTACCCTGCAAGTTTGGAGCCTCTCCCTCAAACCCCCTCCCATCCAAAGGAATATACCCTATGTTTTCACCATTGACTTCATTGGCCCATAGGATATAATGGGGCTGAAATTGACATGGGGCTGGCCAAAAGACTCCCCAATCCACTCCTACTGCCGAAATTGACATCCTAACCCTTGGAAAGTAAAAAGGGGGGTGTGGCTTCGATCCCCGACCAGAAGCCATTACCGGCTGCCCCCAGACCTCTCGCTCCTAAATCAACTCTAATTGACTATTTTTAATCAAACCTGATCTAAAGTATGCCGCCTAAAACTTCTAAGGGCAAAAAGAATCAAAAGAATGCCGGGGAAGTTCCTTTGCTAAAGGAATTTTTTGCATTGGCTGAACTTGCCAGTACCTCTTCAGCTTCTTCAGGCAATGGTGATACAAATACTGCTGACTCTCTCCTCACACCAAAGTTTTTATTAGAAGCACTGGGGAGACAACGTCAAGAGCTAAGGCAAGATATGATGGATATGATATCACCTCTAGCCCAACGCATGGAGGAACTGGAGTCTCAATATAAGCAAGCAGCTCAAAAAGCAGAAGCAGCATTAAAGAAAGTCGCCTCCCTGGGGGAAAAGCCTGGAACCACCTCTCAAAACAGTTGGTCTAGATAAAAAATTATGATGTTGGAGTCTCGCATAAGAGACAAAAACTTGAAATTTCGCGGCTTTTCCTCAAATGCCGAAGCAAAAACTGACCTTTCTATTTTCATGGCGTCCTGGCTGGCTGCTTCTTTAAAATTAGAGGAGCGAGTGACACACCACTGACATACTGCAAGCTTACCGAGTAGATAAAACCAACAGATTCCTCCCAGGCTGCCCTTTCTGGCAGAGACATAGTGGCTGTCGGACTAAAAAGAATATCTTGATGGAAGCACGTCAGCAGAGCGGCTTGGATTTTCAAGGAAGCAAAATACTTGTATTTCCAGACCTTCCCCCAGACATGCTTAAGATTCGAAGAGACTTAAAATCTATTTTTAAACTCCAGGCAGCAGGTATAAAATACCATTGGTTGCGGTCAGGTAAAATGTTTGTGGAATATCAGCAAACTTAATATATTGCATATGACTCTGCTTCTGGATCAGCTTTGTTATCTGCATTAGGTTTGCTTCAATTAGAGGAAGCTGAAATTCGAGCTGTAAAAAGGAAGACTCATTCACCGTTGACTCCTGTTAAAAGCAGCAAGCTTCATGTTTCTGAAGAAACAGAGGACGGTGAAATAGAGCTTGATGTAGCAAGCTACATATTTATTAGCTTGATATAGGTGAAGTCTGGGGGGGGCTGGGAGGCCTGAGGAGCAGACAGGCATGTGCTCCCGTATTGTAGGGCACGTGGGGTGGGGGAGAAGGCTCCCCCTAGCTTACACCGCAAGCTTCCACAGACCCCGTGGTTTTCTGGGCTCCAGTGTATACTTTATCAGTTAATCAACTGCATTATCAGATTAAAACAAGAAGACAGAAGATGCTGGAACTTAGGTAGCTAATAATTATCATGTATGTTTCAAATGCATAGTTAATGATCATTTTGAAAGAATGAAAAAGAAGAACACCGCTTATGTAAAGAGATATACATATAATGTAAAGACATATAAGTTGAATTGATATAATTTAGATGATGTGATATACAATTTATGTACCTTTTTTGTTGTAAGTAATATCGTTCTTTAATTACATTTTTAAAAAGTTTAAAAAAGGTTTAAAAAAATCCAGAATACCTGTAAGAGAGCCTCTGGCAGCTGGCCCGCATAAGCACAGTCCCAATGTGTGCACAGAAGACACCTTGAGGAACAGCGGTTGCAGGTAAGTGCAATACTGTTTTACCAGCGGTGGCTAAATGGAACCTTATTGTATTCAGAGGCGATTGCTGGGAGTCCAAAACAGGTGGAGGTTTTGGCCTTAGTGCCTGGCTTGTAGACGTTCCAGGGGCAGCAGTTTGGCCAGTTTGGCCACTGTAGGAAATGGGATCTTGCAGTAGGTAAATTTTTTGTCTGACCCAGCAAGGCTCCTCTTATTTCTTGAATTTCTTACTGGAAGCAGCAGAACAAAGTCTGAGTCCAGTGGGGGGCACCTTTAAGACCAGCCAAGTTGTATTCAAGGTATAAACTTTCCTGTACAAAGCACACTTCCTCAGATACAGATGCAGTGCCTTGCACACAAAACCTTATGCCTTGAATACAACTTGGTGGGTCTCAAAGGTGCCCCCCCTGGACTCAGACTTTGTTCTGCTGCGTCAGACCAGCGCGGCTGACCCCACCTGAATCTGTCTTCTCTGGAAGAACTGAGGTCAGTTTGGGTAGAATGATTTGAGTGGGATTGAACTCTGCCAATTTTCTTTTAGTTGAACCAAGGCTTGGAAGACCCTCTGAAGAGACCTGTCGTATACGTGAAGGGGCCTGATGCTATCAAACTGATGAATATTGTTAACAAACAGAAGGTTGCCCGGGCCAGGATTCAGCACCGGCCTCCCCCGGTAAGACGTCAGGGCAGTGCTGGCTCTGAAGCATGCCGTCTCTTTGAGCAGACCGATCATTGGTCCCAGTTCCTTTTTCCCAAAGGAGGCTGGAAGTTGAGCACTTTGTCAGTGTCATTTGCTGAATCTTTAGCAGGGCTTGGCGTTAAGCTCCCATCATCAGACATGCCTATTGGACAGCACGATCAGTGGTCTTGTGGACTCTGCGGTTGTAAAATTTGGGCTTTTCCCCCCACCTGAAGTCTTGCTGAGTTTGACAGCAATTTTCAAGGGATGGCCTCTTGCCAGTATTATATGGTCTGGAGGAGATGGTGGGATTTTGCCAGGTCATAAGAACTTAATAAAATCAAGCCAGTTGCTTCACAGTGGAATGAAGGGTTCAGTATTGTTCCCTCTGGCAGTGGGTGGGAATAAGCCTTTTTTCTTATGTCTTTGAGGCCTCTAGATTGCTAGTTATAAGCAAAGAGACTGTGACTAGTTGCAGAAGCCCTAAAAACAATACTATAGTGGAAGGAGGAGTTAAGATTTTCAATGGGTTTGATGGATCAGTAGAATTGCTGCACATTTTGACACCGGTCTGTGGAGAGAATGTCAAGAGTTCCAAGTTAAGAGTCCGTAGGGCTGGAGAGCTACCAGGTACCTAAGACAATTGTCGGTCAGAATGGAGAAGATGCCGCATTAATACAAACTGACTTAATCGAAGTGGTAAAACTCTCTTGTGGCATATGAATTGGCACCAACCAGCTTTCCAGCTGGTCCAAAAGGGAGGAGGAGGGGGGGATGCCCTTTAATCCCCGCCCCTCCAAACACTAGGCTGGAGATCATGTGGCCTGCATAGACAAAAGCCATTTGAGAAGGTGTGGAATTGCATGAGATTTGGCAGAAAAGATGGCTGGATCCAACCCCTGTAGGTTTTACTCAGGGAGGGATTAGTTGAAAGTTGCCTTCATGTGAAACTTAATTCCATACAAGCAGGACCCCACAAGGACTTGCTAAAAGCATATCTTTCCCCCCTCCCCCACAAGCCCCCATAGCCACTCCCCTTTTCACTGCTTCCTTCTGTCCTTCGCACCAACAGCCAACCTACCTTTATCAACCCCGCCCCATCTTCAGCTTCTCCCCCTCCTTGGACAGCCACTATTAGGAAAAGTGTGGCTCAGTTGTGTGGTGTCAGCCACTGGGCCAGGCCCACTTGCGTGGCAGGGACATCTCATGGACTTGTGGGGGGAGGGGTCCACTCACTTCCCCCTGTATCCCCCTCCCTGCATATTTCCTCTGTCCCTCCACCTGGCAACCCCCATATTATCCTCTCCCTTTCCCTGTCGCATTCTCTCCTTCTCAGCCATTCATCAACTTACCTTTTATCTGCATCCCATTTTATCTGCCTCCCCAGGGTATCTGAACCCTGCCTTTTCCCACACTGGGGAACAAAGCAGCTTACAAGAGAGCCAGTTTGGTGTAGTGGTTAAGTGCGCGGACTCTAATCTGGGAGAACCGGGTTTGATTCCCCACTCCTCCACTCGCACCTGCTGATGTGACCCTGGGTCAGTCACAAGCTCTGGCACAGCTGTCCTTCAAAAAGAGCAGTTTGTGTCAGAGCTCTCTCAGCCCCACCCACCTCACAGGGTGTCTGCTGTGGGGAGGGGAAGGGAAAGGAGTTTGTAAGCCGCTCTGAGACTCCAAGTGAAGGGCGGGGTATAAATCCAATCTCTTCTTCTTCATTATATATATTACAACATCATCATCGTTCTCTCCTCTTTTTTGTCTTCACAACAACTCTTTGAGGTTGGTTAGGCTAAAAATATGTGACCATTGAGCTTCCACAGCAAGAGACACCCAGGCCCCACTCTGAAGCTCTAACGGCTATACCACACTGACTTTCATAGGGTGGCTGCTGTTGAACAATAGCAAGCAGCTAGGCCTAGGGGAGTCATGCAAGTCAGGTGGTATCAAGTTGTCTGGTGTTTCCTGCTGGGGCTGGCTGCAATGAGTCCTTCCTCAGAAGCCAAAACCTCCTGCTATCCTCTCCTCCTGCCTTTTACTGACAGAAACCAAACCTGTTGTGGTTGCCTAGCATCAGCAACTGAAGGCATCTGTTTCTTAAAGCTACAGGTGCTCCTTTTATCATTTTGTTTTTTAAAAAAACAAACCCTAGTGTTGGAGGTTTTTTAGTTTTCAGATTTTTCTGCAAATCTGGGGCACTCTTGAGGTTTGTAGAAAGATCTGTCTTGTCCATTCACCGTGTTTAAGTATTCTCAGATTTAGCCAGTTGCTCTTAGCATATATACAAGTGGGGGCCCATGAAACTTGCAGGGGGATATCCCATTCCCCCCCCCATTGCTGAGCCTTGGAGACCAGCAGTGGTAGTGTCTGAGAGCCACTCTGAGCTGGAAGTGGGTCCCAGGGCTTGCCACTGCCAAGCCCAGAGCAGCTCCTGGCTGCCACGGCTGCCACAGCAGGACCCCAAACAACTCCCAGTGTCTGACACTGCTGTGGTATGGCCCTTAACGGCTCCTGGTGTCCACCACGGCAGGACCCAGAGTGGTGCCCAAACTGCCTGCCTCAGCTCCCGGGCTCTACCACACACAGGTAAGAAGGAAAGAGCATTCTCTGTGCTTTCTCAGAGAATGTTGCTTTACTTTGGGGGGGGGATTTAAACCCCCCGTGTATTTTCCCCCCCAGATTTTTCTGCAGACCTGGGGAATGTCTTAATTTTGCTGAAAAATCTATTTAGCCTCTGTGTGGCCTCGAGCTGTAGATTTAGCTATCAACAGATGGGGCCATGGGTGGCTACTAGAATATAAACAAGTGGAGACCTACAAGAAACTTGTGGGCTGGTTATCCCATTCCTCACACCTTTGCTGCCTCCCCTCTCCCCCTACCTCTCTGCCCCCCTTTTCTTACTATCTCTCCTCCATGCATGTTCTGTCCTCTCTCTTTCTGACGCGTCATCATTCTCTTTATTTTCCTGCCTCCCCACCTCATCACTCTTTCTCTCTCTTTCTGCCCCCCACCACATCACTCTCTCCTTCTGCCCCATCACTCTCCCTGCCTCCCGAGTGCTTCCTCCCCCACCCCACGCAGCAGCAGCAGCAGATGTGGTGGTGGTGCTCCCAGCCACTCACCTGCTTCCTCTCCCCTCACAGCAGCAGTGGCAGCGCTCTGGGAACTACAACAGATCTCTCACCTATGGAGATAAATTCTCCTCAGGGCTGCTGGCTCCAGACTGGGAGATTCCTGGAGATTTGGGGGTGGAGCCTTGGGAAAGTGAGACTTGGGGAGGTGAGCAGCCTCAGCAGCCCCTCCCTGAAGGGTTTTTTTCCTTTACTTTTTGGATTTTACTGGAAACTCAGGACGTCTCCTGAGTCTGTAGAAAAAGCTGTTGGGGGAGAGTGAGCTCCCTGTTGGCAGAAATAAGTATCCACATGGAGAACAGAGTTTGGCTATTAGATGTATAGATTATGATATGATGCAAATTATACGTTTCCCGGATGTAAGGTGAATTTTCAAAGATTAAGCCCCTTGCTTAGCTGGGGTAGGATGGTCCCCATGAGGGGATCCCAATTAAGCAGACTGCCATCAACCCTGGGCAGGTCTGGCAGGCAATTCCAGTGATTAGGCATAGACAGTGTACCATCTTGTGATGTATTTTTTAAGTGAGGAGAAGTTGGATGCAGTGGACATAGTTCTTTGCCATCGTAGGAAGATTTCCAGGTTATGGAATTCCCTTACATCTGCAGCAATGTTTTAAAAAAGCACAGACACCAACTCACTGCTCCCTGACCTTTTTGAGCCTGTGGGCACCTGTAGAATTCTGACCTTGTGGTGGGTGCAGTCACAAAATGGCTGCCTCAAGAGGCAGAGCCAGGCACAGAGTGGCTGCTGCAGCTGACCTTTAGGAACACTATGAAGATTCTTCTGCCAAAGCAATGTTTGTCTTAATGTGTAGCCAGTAAAGTCTCCAATGGCCAGTCAGAAGCCTTGCTTGGCAAAGTCCACATCCGGTCCTACTGGTTTTCCTAAATCACTTGGCAGGCACCAGGAAAGGTGCTGGTGGGCACCATGATGCCTGCAGGCACTGCATGGCAGACCCCTGTGCCAGCTATTATTGTTACCATGTTGCTGATGCTAAATTTCACTCTCCAGTTTTGGTGGGGCTCTCTCTTCTCACCCGTGGAACCTGGGACTAAGTACCAGTAGCCGGCCTCCTTGTACTATTTCAGTACTGGCCAGCGGAATTTCAGTACTGCCCACTGTGCATATGAAAACGCAGTGAGTTTTATAGGAGTTGTTCTGGTATGCCTGCAGGTGTCCCGTGACTTATGTGGCATTCCTATATCATAGCCATCTTGCTGCAGGTTTCAGTTTTTGTTCCAGTCACTTGCTACATCCGGTCACCTTAACACACTCTGCTTGTGCGAGTGTATCTTGCTGAGATCAGAAAGGAGCTAACATCTGTCTGTCTCCCTTTCCCACCCCATCCCTTCCCATTCAAAGCAACCTACAGAATACTTCGATATGGGGATTTTCTTGGCCTTTTTTGTGGTGGTGTCCCTGGTCTGCCTTGTTCTTCTTGTCAAGATCAAACTGAAGCAGCGCCGCAGCCAGGTGAGAGCCGTGTCAGGGCTTGGGAGGTGTTATCATGTCAAGGGCGCTCAGGGGGGCCTTCCGCTGAAGAGCGGGGGGAGCCTTGGGAAGGCACACTCCGTGAAGCTCTTCTGCCTTCGTGGAGCTCTTCTGCAAACGGGAGCAGAATGCCCTGTGACCTTGGCAGAGGAAGGCAGAGTCCAGCAAGCCTGCCGTGGGTCTTCTCTTCCAAGAGAGCCTGGCCAACAGCTCTTCTCGGCCTTCTGAGGCATGTCCTGGGTCTGTATACAATCTGCAGAATCACTCAGATGTCTCAGACCAGCCAGCTTGGTGCTGGTGAGGGGACGGGGAGATCCCCCGGCTCCTTCATTCCCTTCACCAGTGGGGGCAGTATGAGTAGTTTTCTGTGTACCTATTGAATTGTAGCCTGACCAGTGGGGAGAGCACCCAGTCGCACAGTCCAGTCCGACTCTTCGCGACCCCATGGACCACTTCATGCCAGGCCCCCCGGTCTTCCATCGTGCTCCGGAGTTTGCTTAATTTCATGTCCGTTGCATCACCCCAGATAAGCCCATCCCCATTTCACAGGATCGATATTGTATCTTGTAAGCTGCGGGGCCCAAGGCAATGGAGCCCTTTTGTTGAGTGATCCTGCATCCATGTTGCTTCAACCGCGTCGGATGAGCAAGTGGTGGAGGGAGGCTCTTGACCCCACCCGCCCCGAGGGGTGACATGGATCAGGAGTCTCTCAGCAATGCAGGCGGTGCTTCCTACAGCAGGGCTGCCTCTGAGGCGTGCCTTGCATTGGTTCTTCTCTCCAGGCCCCCTCCCCTGTCACTGACTGCCACCAGTGGTCGCATCCATTGTCCTTGGGCCTCTGGACTAGGAAGTAGGTCATCCTGCCACCTTTGAGTAAGTTCCCCGTTTTGTCTTTCGCAGAGTTCCATGAACAGGCTGGCTGTGCAGGCGCTGGAAAAGATGGAGACACGGAAGTTCAAATCCAAGCTGAAAGGGCACTCCGAAGAGAGCTGCAGTGCTCTGGATACACTCAGCAGCAGCTCCACCTCTGACTGTGCCATTTGCCTGGAGAAATATGTCGATGGGGAGGTGCGAGGGCTGTTCTGTTGCTGTTCTTGTTGTTGGAGGAGGGGGTGGCTCCTCCAGGGCCATCTTGAGAGTCTGCGGAGGGGCAGAGGGTGGATTGTGCCTTTTGCTGGCGGGAAGACTGCCACAGGAAGTGGTGGCGGCTACAAGCATGGACAGCTTCAAAAGGAAATCAGATAAGCATATGGAGCAGAGGTCCATCAGTGGCCCCTATTAGCCACAAGGTATAGATAGGGACTCTGGGGCAAGTGATGCTCTGTCTTCTTGGTGCTTGGGGGGGGGTCAACAGTGGGAGGGCTTCTAATGTCCTGGCCCCACTGCTGGACCTCCTGATGGCACTGGTATTTCTGGCCACTGTGTGACACAGAGTGTTGGACTGGATGGGCCATTGGCCTGATCCAACATGGGCTTCTCTTATGTTCTTATATGTTCTTAAGAGCTGGTGTTCTGTCTAGCACAGCATGAGACGTGTGCGGCCCCCCCCCCCGGTGGAGGGACAGTGTCTCCCGGGCAGCAGAAGTGAAGGTTTGTTTGGAGAGGGTGGGTGGTCTCTTTTTGCTGCCGTGGTTTTCCTGGCAGGGGGAGAGGCATCAGCCTTCTCTGTCCCATTTGCAGCCCTCCAGGGAGCTCCTTGCTGAGCCTGTGACATGAACAGCTGCAAAGCTCAGACTGAAATCACAGCTAGCATACGGCAGAACTGGCAAGAGATGAAGCCGCCAGCCAGCTAGATCCCAGCGCACTGCCCGGGCAGAGGCACAAGAGCCCTGCTTCTCCCTCCCTCCCTCTCTCTCTAGTCTCTCTCTCTCTCTCCCTTTCTGGCACTCTGTTCCCGTGATTACACAGATGTTTCTATCATGCTAGTGCATGGTTATTTTTTTTTTTTTGCAAATAGATTCTCAGAACAGATGCTCCCACGTGTACACCCCTCCTTTCTCTGCTGACACATTTCCCCCTCTCTCTCCTCTCTGTACAAACAGCAGATTGCTTTGCCACAGTACTCCTGATCTGGTGAGAGAACAAAAATCAATAGCAATGATGTTGTTTTTCTTTTCAGGCTGTTTTGCAACCAGGCGCATGATTCATGGCACATCTTTGCACTTTCTGTCACACATGGCCCCTCAGTGGCATTTTCTCCTGACCACATTCCTTTCTTCCTCTCCCTCTCCCTCCCTCCCTCCCCCCCTCTCTCTCTGGGGGAAAGCCCAGTGGTGGCTGGGGTACATGGGGGAACGGCACTGGAGGAGGCTTAGAGCAGCACCCTTCGACGATTCCTTCTGCTGATGTCCCCTTTTACCTTGACAGGAGCTGAGAGTGATTCCTTGTGCTCACCGGTTCCACAGGAAGTGCGTGGACCCGTGGCTTTTGCAGCATCACACATGCCCACATTGCCGTCACAACATCATAGGTGAGTCCCCAGCTTCAGATGGCTCTCTGGGAAATCCGTGGTAACTTAATGGTCAGATGCTGCAGCTGTGCTCACATGGTCTGTGTCCCTCGTCTAGGGAAGTGGAAGTCCCTTCACTGGCACAGGGAAGCTGCTCCTTCTTCCACCTCTGTAAAGTGTGTCTCTGTGTGTCGGTGGGTGGGTGTGGGTGTCGGTGTGTGCACTTGCCAAGCTGGGTAGCAGGAGGGGCGATTGCCGCTACCAAGAGGGAAAGGACTCATTCAAAGTCTTGGAAATGCTTCTAAAATCAGATTGTGTTAGATTGTGCTTATACCTGATAGTGAAATTAAATAAATGTTCAGTATGGCTTTCAAAAAACAAAATCAACAGATATATCAAAACAAAGAAACGTGAACATGGGGGGGGGTTTCTTCACAGGGTCCCTGTCGTTTCTTGGACGTCCTTTGCCAGTCGGAGGGGGCCTGCACTGGGGGGTGGGGGGTGGGCTGGGGGAAGAAATTGTTCTAGAGTCTGTGTTTTCTTGCTGAGATTCTGAACTCAACAACATCTTTCTGTACAGAGCAAAAGAAAGGATCCCCAGGACAGATGTGTGAGGAATTTGCCAACCAGATCCGTAGCCGGCAGCAGCAGCAGCGGCCTATGATCCTTCCGGTTCATTATCCCGGCCGAGTCCACAGAGCCGGCCAGGTCACTGCGTACCCAACCCGGACGAGTATGGACCACCACGGGAACCCCATCACAGTCCTGACGGTGGACCGGCATGGGGAGGCCCCCGCCTTCCTCCAGAGCTACCAGCCTATCCACTTGGACCACACTCTGAGCGCCCATCCCTGTGGCGTGGAGCACAGGGCCTACCCCGCAGCACACCCCTTCCGGAGGCCCAAGTTCAGTGGCCATAACTTCCCCAAGCCCGCTTGCTTCTCGCAGTACGGAACCATGTTTCAGCACTACTATTTCCAGGGCCTGAGCTACCCAGAGCAGAACGGGCAGCTTCCCCTGGGCGTGGCCGCCAAAGGCCCGGCTCGCGCCTTCCAGCCTGTGGGCAGCAGGCTTTTCCCTCCAGTGGTCCACGTAGCCCCCTCGTCCCACCTGGAGAGCAGCAGCGCTTCCAGCTTCAGCTGCTACCATGGCCACCGTTCCGTGTGCAGTGGCTACCTGGCTGACTGTCCGGGCAGTGACAGCAGCAGCAGCAGCTCTGCCCAGTGCCGCTGCTCCTCCAGTGACTCCATGGTAGACTGCACGGAAGTGAGCAACCAGGGCGTCTATGGGAGCTGCTCCACCTTTCGCAGCTCTCTGAGCAGTGACTACGACCCATACATCTATCGCAGCAAAAGCCCCTGCCGAGGAAGTGAAGGGGGTGGGGTGAGCAGAGGGACTGTGGTTCTTGTCGAAGGCCTCCATTCATCCCGCCTGGCTGGGGGCGAGTGCTTCCCTGTGTCGGCCATCTCTGCAGGGGACCAGCTTTCGGACTGCAGCCTGGAGATGAATTACAGCAGCAGCTCCTCCTCCTCCCTGGAGCAGCACAGGGAGCCACCCGGCACCGTCTCAGAGGGAGCCCTCGGAGCCCTCTCTGGGGCAGCTGGGGAGGCGGGGCAGACCTGCAGAGGGGCTCCGGAGCAAGCCTGTGCCTGCCACCAGGAGTCCACAGGCACGGTGGCGGAATGCAGCACGCTTCTCCTGGGGCCATCGTTTTGGACAGGATGTGGCCCTGGGCAAGAGCCTGCGGCAGGGAGAGGCCATGGCTTGTACAGTATTCGGACGGAAGGGGGGGAATGCGAGGCCTTGCCTTGTTGCTTCTATGAAGAGAAGCAGGTGACCAGCAGCAACAGCCCTAGCCCAGCCGCCCGCCACGCAGAGGACTATTCCGTGAACGTGCAGTATGTGTGTGCTGAGGAGGACCCCTTGCCGAGCTGCTACACAGGGGGGTGCGGCCTGGGCCAGCGGATCACCATCATTCCTGAAGACAGAGATGGTGAGCCGGCTGTGCCCGTGGAGTGCCAAGGAGGCAGCAGCCCTTGGGAGGGGCCATGTGAGGCGGACACTGACGGGCTTCGGCCAGCTCCTGGGGAGGTGCACAGCAAGCAGGAAGAGGAGTTGTGCTACCAGCCAATGGGCTTTCTGCAGAAGGAGGCCCGGGGACTCTTTGCAAGCCCTGCCCTGAGTTGTTCTGAGGCCACAGTGTTGGCAGTAGGCACCCAGGTATCAGGTAAGTAGGGTGGACCCAGCATGCAGTTAGGGGGAAGGGGAGAAAACTGTGAGAGTGACCAGCTTGTCCCGCGTCCGTTCTGACTGTGACGACAGGCACTGCCTGGGGGAGGGACAGGTGAGACGCTGGGGAATTTTGGGTGGGGTGATGGAGAGCTCAGAAATGTGGACCTTTTGGACATCCAGAACTGACTGCTCTGAACGTTAACATTGCTTGGGTACCCCCAAGAGTGCCATATAGGTGGTGGCGGCAGGTTGGGCATAATTTTTTAAAATATTTTTCCCTGTGCAAATGCAGAATATATGGGGGGGGGGTGGCGACAGAGGTGAAGAAACACAAGGCACTGCTGCCAAGGGGGCAGGAAACGAGTGGAGGCCACGGGGGGGGGCCCCCGCCTGGCTTCCCGAGGCCGTTCTGGTCTCCTGGACCTGAGCAGAAGTGCACAGCAGTGTCTTTTCAACACTGGACATCCAGTGATGGGAAACGGTCCGTCCATCGGCGTAGGCATTTGCTCTGAACATTGGATCGCCTGTCTCCTCCCCGTACAGTTGAGTTTATTGAGCAGAGAATGGAGGCGGGTTTCAGCAGGGACTGTAGTGGCCTATGGTGAGCAGACTGGTTGTGCTGGCTGCTTGTTACTTTGTGGCTTCAGTGGTATGGCTGCGTTCAGGGCTGTTTTCCTCTGACTCCCTTTTGTCATTTCAGACTGCTCTTCCATCGGGAGATTTCCAGCTGGGGACTAGCCTGCGGAGGAACCACCAGTTTGGAGGACTCTCCACCCCTGCTGGACTTCTAAACTGTTCTTAGCTCTGGCTAACTCATGGCAGTTGTCACTGGAGAAGGCTGTGTGCTATCTCCGCAGCGGAAGTCGGGGTATTCGGCGTGAGCTTGCCCTGGGCAGACTTGGTGCCACATGGCAGCTCGATGCAAAGTGTTCTTTAGAGACAGACCACTGCTCCACCCATGGCTGCAGGACAGAACCCCTGGCACCCAGGGTAACTAAGCCACGCTGTGTAGCGAGATTGCTCTCCTGTTTGGTGGGGGGGAGGGGGGAGGGATGGGGGAATCCGGGCTGCCTTAGAAAACAAAGAGCACTTTGAAGCAGAATTTGTCCAAAGGGTACGCATTGGCTGAGTCCTTAGTGTCTGCTCTTCCCTCCTCACGACAAACCCAGCCCCAGTGGTGGTGGGGGCTGGGAAGATAGCTGCTCCCCTTAGGGGTGGGGGGTGGAGGGATAGGCCCGATTCCTCATCCCCAGGCCAGGGCTCTCGTCACTGGACACGGCGAGCTGAAAGGCAAAGTCCTGCTTCTGTGGGAGCGATTCCGCTGAGAGGCAAACAAGGTCTGGGATTGGATGGGAAGTGTGCCGGATGTCTCGCGTCTGTGTGTGTGTGCGCGCGCGCGCGCGTGTGTAGGGACCTGCGCATGCTGCCCTTGGTCTGCAGCTGGAACACTTTCTGCCAATGGCTCCGAGAGGCCTTTGCCCTGTGCCTGCTGGCCTGCCTTTGGGGCGGGGGGGGGCAGGGGCGGGCGGAGGCCTCCCTCTCCTTTCCTCTCCTTTCCTCCCTGGCTTCGCATTATCACATTCATGCCTGTTGTCACTGACTGCCAGCTGTTGATCGTTTCCTGTGGAAACAATAGCTTCCGACTAGCACCGGCCACTGCCACGTGATTCCAGATGGCGCCCCTTCTGTACGCCCAGGACCTTGACAAATCGCCCTGTTTGGTGTATGTGGCCGCACATACACGGGCGGTGTCTCTAGACCTCTTCTGGTGTGTGATCAGTGCTCTGCAGGACTGCTGGAGTGCATACACGGTGGGAAGAGTCTGTTCTGAATGGAATGTGCCTGGAACCCCCACCCCCCCCCCCCGATCAGTGTCGTAGAACTGTGGCCTTGTGATGCATTTACCGGGTGACGTTTGAGCAGCAGCCTGGCACAGAGGGTTCTGTAGGACCCGAAAGCTTGCACAGTGTTTTGCGTCATTGGGATTGGCTCTCAGTAAAAGGTGGTATTAGATGATTTTGTTTCTTCTTCTGAGTTTTGCATGGGCCAGTACAGCTGTTTACAGCATTTTACTTGATTATTTGATTTTGTACCCAGCTAATGGGGGAAATTGAAAGTTTCAGTGATTAAATTGATAAGACCCCATTGTGTTTTCCTCATTCTGCATGTATGTAATTACACGTAGAGAAGGTCAGATTTACAAGATGTGGGACCTGTTATTCCCTTTGCTCTCTGAGAGGGACACAGGTAGGGCGAGGCAGAATGAGAAGACTTGTCATGTTCTGCACGTTGGAGTCACTCTGAGACAGAAGGCCACCTGGCCACTGCTGGCCCCATGAACGGAAGCGGGGGAGCGCCTGTTCTGCTGAGCCCAGAAACCGGCTGCCGGGGAGGGCTGGGATAGCTGCCGGCAACCCAGTGGCAGAATCGCCCTCTCTCTCTCTCTCTCTCTCTACTCGCTCTCTCTCTCTCTCTCTCTCTCTCTCTCTCTCTCTCTCTCTCTCTCTTCTTCCTTTTGTTTCCCCCCCCTCTTCCGCTGTAACTTCTTGCGCAGTATCTTCTTTGCCTTCCCAGCCTTGGTGTGTCTGATGTTTCCATGTCTGCCGCTTCTGCAGGGCAAAGGTGTCTGTAACGGTCAGTACAGTAGATTACCCGTTTTTAATCCTGAAGGCCTTTCTATTAAAGTAACAATTGCCATTTTGTTGGGCTCATGAGGCACTATTTTAAAAGAATTTTTTTTTATAAAATGAAACTATTCTGTAGCACTTAAACCATTTTGTATAAAGTTTACTGTAAAGACTTGTAATATGGCTAAAGGGCTCTTTCTCCATTACCCTTTTTAACGTTTCTAAGGCTAGAAAACAACTTGATGTATATTCTGTATATGTATAGCAGCACATTTCATTTATGGAAAGATGTTCTCAGAATATTTATTTACTAATATATTTATCTTAAGCCATGTCCTATGTTGACCGTGTGATATTGTCTAAATAATAATTGAAAATCACTAACAGGAAGCCCTGTAAATACACAGTAATTGCACACAAAGATTTTACAATGTTTGCCGACCAAAAAGTGATTTTTAAAATAAGTTGTAGCTCTCTACAGTTTTGTAACAAAGTGTACAAATGTCTGTTTAAAAAACAAAAACAAATACAGTTTTATTGTCTAATTTGGCAACTGTCCTCCTTTTTGGGTTTGGGAGAGGGGAAAGGGTGGACCACTTCCAATGTCAGCAGCTGACCAGTTGCAGAGGAAACTGAGTTCTCAGACAGGCAAAAGCAGAGCCAAGCAGCCCCTGCCCGGTAAAAGAAGCAGCTTCCGCTCAGGCCTAGAGCTGCTCACAGTCACTTTGGTCACGGTCCTTGAAGTGATCCGATTCCTGAGACTCAACATGGGTTCTGTAAGGGAAGATCTTGTCTCACTAACCTGTTAATGTTCTTTGAGGGGGTGAACAAACATGAACAAACATGTGGACAAGGGGGATCCAATAGATATTGTTTACCTTGACTTCCAGAAAGCTTTTGATAAAGTTCCTCATCAAAGGCTCCTAATTAAGCTCAAAAATCATGGGATAAAAGGACAAGTCCTTTTATGGATCAAAAACTGGCTAATTAATAGAAAACAGAGAGTGAGTATAAATGGGCAGTTCTCTCAGTGGAGGGAGGTAAGCAGTGGGGTACCGCAGGGATCAGTACTTGGTCCACTGCTTTTTAACTTGTTCATTAATGATTTGGAGTTGGGAGTACGGAGTGAAGTGGCTAAATTTGCGGATGATACGAAGTTGTTCAGGGTGGTGAAAACCAGTGAGGATTGTGAGGCACTCCAAAGGGATCTGTCAAAGATGGGCGAGTGGGCGTCAACATGGCAAATGGGGTTCAATGTGGCCAAGTGCAAGGTGATGCACATTGGAGCCAAAAATCCTAAATATAAATACACATTGATGGGGTCTGAACTGGCAGAGACTGATCAAGAGAGAGATCTTGGAGTTGTAGTAGGTCACCACACCTTTAAAAGGATATTATAGCTTTGGAAAAAGTGCAGAAAAGGGCAACTCGAATGATAAAGGGGTTGGAACACTTTCCCTATGAGGAAAGGTTAAGGCGCTTAGGGCTCTTTAGCTTGGAGAAACGACGACTGAGGGGTGACATGATTGAGGTTTATAAGATTATGCATGGGAAAGAGCAGGTCGAGAAAGAGGTACTTTTCTCCCTTTCTCACAATACAAGAACTCGTGGGCACTCCATGAAATTGCTGAGCGGTCAGGTTAGAACAGATAAAAGGAAGTACTTCTTCACCCAAAGAGTGATTAACACTTGGAATTCACTGCCACAGGAAGTGGTGGCGGCTACAAGCATGGACGGCTTCAAAAGGGAATTAGATAAGCATATGGAGCAGAGGTCCATCAGTGGCTATTAGCCACAAGGTATAGATAGGGACTCTGGGGCAAGTGATGCTCTGTCATCTTGGTGCTTGGGGGGGGGGGTCAACAGTGGGATGGCTTCTAATGTCCTGTCCCCATTGGTGGACCTCCTGATGGCACTGGTATTTCTGGCCACTGTGTGATACAGAGTGTTGGACTGGATGGGCCTTTGGCCTGATCCAACATTGGCATCTCTTATGTTCTTATGTACTTTGAATGCACTCGGGAGCAGGGCATGGTAAGTTGAATAGGTGAGCATGCTAGTGGTGAGGTTTGCAGCATGCCTAAGTGGACTAAACTTTTGACCATTCTGCTAATTAAAAACAGGAATTGTATTAGCATTTTAAAGCAACAGGGCCCTGTAGTCAAGAGAGAGTACATTTACAACTGGGAGTAAATGGGTTTGTTTGTTTTTCTGTAGTTGTCACCATACAAAACATAATTGGGGGGAAATGCTGCATGTATTCTGCTGCCTGAAGGGTGTTCCCAAAGCCAAAAAGTTGGTCTACTCATTACAGCAAAAGGAGAGGTGCCCGAATTTCTCCTGCCATTGTAGCAGTCTGAGGGAATAAAGAGGAGCTTCCTACAGAAATAGAAGCCCCAGAGCAGTTCTTCTAACCCATGTATTCATTTTCACCAGCCAGGCTAGTGGGTAGGTGGGGAACAGGAGCTGCTGCTGACTCCCCACCTCCAGGGAAGCGGTGCATGGTTGGTTGGTTGGTGAAAGAGAACCAGGAGCTGCAGCCCCCCCCCCCCCCCCCGCTCACTGCCAAGCAGCAGAGGGGAGGAAAGGGAGCTGCCAGTGCCTCCCTCCTCACAACCTTGTGCCCTCTGGAGGGGAGGCAATGCAGGGGAGGAAGGAAATGCCAATTTCCAGACTAAAATAGCTTTGAAAGATCAGCCCCTTAACGAAAAGCCTGGCCTGGCACCTTTAAAGAAAGCAACACATAGGCCAGGTGAGCCTCAAGGGAAAGGCATTCCATAAGCAAGGTCCCTGTATGCCACCTGTCTCACCTCAAGGCTGGGGCAGAGAGAGCACAGCTTGTGAGGCAGATCCTCACTGGTGTGTTTTGAACAGAAGGCACATTAAACTTCTTTGCTTAAAAGCTACACACAGCTCTCTTCTTGGTGAACCCAAGCAGCAGGAGGATTTCAGGGAGAGTAATTTAATCTCGGTGTGGTGGTAGATGCCCCCAGAGTCTCAGAAAGTGTTTTGGAGAAGAATCTCTTGAGGGGCTTCCTCCAAACCCCACGTGTCTAACCCCGGCAGTTCAGCTCTCTTGCCGCTCACTTGCGGGACGTAAGCCCCGTTGCAGGTTTGTGAATAATACCTACAGTCATCATTGCAGTGATCTCAAATCCTATTCCATTAGAGGCACAATGTGCAGCAGCCATTCTTGGAGACGTATGTGCTTCAGAATGGTCGATGGGCGTAACACACTGGCACAGGACCTGGGGGGGGGGGGACACTACCCGGTTGCAGAGAAGGTAATTGGATATGAACAAACCCGAAACTACCAAGATGTTTTTGGTCTACCTCTTTAACATCACGGA